GTATTTATACATCAGACTTGTTTTCCTGGTCCTTGGGAACCCTAGGAATAAGCCATTATATGTGCACAGCCATTTAGCTCACTTTCTGAATAGTTGTTTTTTTTTTTTTCAATTGCTCTAAGAGAATATTTAATTTTAGCATCACAATAATGATAGCTCTGGAAAGTAGTCTCCCTTCCATCCTGACAGGCTTTCCAACACAATAACTTCAGGCATAAATAACAATTGGCATGTTAGAGTATTGTCCAAAGATTAGCTAATATGACTGGAAGAAAAAATATGTCTCTACTTTAGGACAGGGAACATCTTCTGAAAGCTACGCCTTGGTGCAATTTTGAAAGTTGGTAAATTTGTCTGAAATAACCAAAGGCCATCAGGGAGGCCGCTCTGTGATGATCAAATATCAAGGTTTTCAGCCAGATGGGCCTGCAGTCGAACCTCCTTCCCAGCCCTGGGCTGTTCCCCACATACTAGCCAGTTATCTTGGTGACTTGACCTCCATAAACCTCGGAGACCTGAGCTTTGACACGGAATCAGGTAACCCGTGAGATCAGTGAGAGGGGGAAAGGAGAAATGAGATCCTGTGGATGAGCCTAGCAGGTAGCAAGTGCTCGGGAGCTGTGCCTCACTTTACGGGCCTGGTGTCACTGTACTGCTCGGCCCTTGGAAGCACAGAGATGAAGAGACTAGCAGTCTTCCTCGTCTTGCTTTCCTTTTACATTTTGTTTCTGTTGAATTTGAGTGAGGGGGCCAGGGCCCCCCGCCTCACACAGAGCCAGTGTCTGCAGGCTCGGGGATGGCTGGGAGGCCCACTGGGCTGACCTGGGGGCCCACTGAGTCCTCATATGGTTTTCACATCACCAGGCTTGTTTTGACTTGCTTGAGCTTTCTCGCCACAACCCCCTTGTGACTCTGGGAGAGAGGAAGTGAGGCCATCCTGAGTGAGGACTGTGCACAGACTCGCTGAGGGTGCGGGGAAGGAGGACGCCGCCCAGGCTCCTGCAGAAGCCCCCAGAAGGCCCCCTGCAGTGACTCTCCCCACCCGCTCCTTCCCAGGCTCCCAGCCTATAGCCGGTGTCGGCCTTGCAACGACTCGGTCGTGTCTGCCCTTTCTTCCCAGAGGAGGCCGGCCTGGGGAATTTGGCAGGCGATCAAAAGCCATGAGCAGCGTCTGGTCTGGCGGAGGCAGGGCTTGGGCTCTGCTGGGCTGTCCGTGGGCTGCAGCCTCCCTCAGCTGCTCTTCGACAGTTGGTCCTCTGGTCAGTTCCAATTCCAGCAACTGGTCATCCAGAAATAAAAATGGATCAAGGAAATCAGGCCCTTCCTGTGCGGGGCAGTGGAGCGGGTCTGGATGTAGCTCGGGAGTACTGTGTGAAGCCACGTCAGTACTAATGACAATACTACTAATTGTCATCAATTCAGGCCATATATGTGGAGCTCCATACTCATGTATTTATTTACTTATGGGTCCGCTGGTTCTCCATTGCTGTGTGCAAGGCTTTCTGTCGCTGCAGTGAGCTGGGGCCACTCTCTAGGTGCTGTGCATAGGCTTCTCATTGCAGTGGCTTCCCTTGCCGTGGAGCACAGGCCCTGGGAAACACAGGCTCTAGAGAGCACAGACTCTGGGGAGCACAGGCCCTGGGCAGCACAGGCCCTGGGGAGCACAGGCCCTGGGGAGCACAGGCCCTGGGGAGCACAGACTCTGGGGAGCACAGGCTCTGGGGAGCACAGGCTCTGGGGAGCACAGGCTCCAGGCACAAGGGTTTCAGTGGCTGCAGCGTGCAGGCTCCCTAATTCTGGCAGCATGTGCTTAGCTGCTCTGCATGAGTCATGTGAAATCTTCCCAGACCAGGGATAGAACCAGATCGTGTCCTTTGAGTTGGCAGGCAAATTCTTAACCACTGGACCATGAGGGAAGTCTGAGCTCCATATTTATTGAGCTCCAACTATATACCCGGCGCTGGACTAGCACTAAACAAAAGTCTGTTGCGTTGGCATGGGTGCAAATCGCTTTTCATATGCCATCTTAACTAGCCTGCTCCTTAACCTCATGAAGTAGAAAGTAAAGTTAGCCCCATTCTTCAGCTGAAGAAACAGGCTTAGAAAAATAGGGCAACTTTCCCCAACTATTATCACTAGAATGGAAGCTACTGGTTGGGTAGTGGGCCAAAAAATGAAGCCAAGACCCTGACAATTGTGGAGTGATCATGACCATCCGCTGTGGATGACCCCGAAGTCCACCCTAAGACTTCGGTTACATGCAGCTCATCTAACTTTAACGCTCTCCAAGACCTCTTCCTCTTCTGGAGTCCTGACGATGAATACGACGTCCAGCTTGCCTCACAGCCCTTCACTTTCGAACCTTTAGAACCTACGTGGAGCTTTACCCACTCCTCCGCTTTCTCCTCTGGCTCAGGCCCCTGTGCATAAGGAGAGAGGTCTTCTCAGCCCTGGAGAGCAGCCGTCAGCTCAGGGCCGCCTGGCTCCACCCGCGCTTACAATCCAAGTCCCGAGTCCTTGCCTCATTCTGAGACGAGCTTGCCATTTCCACCACGGTCACCCTGGCCCCCTAAGTATCCTCCTGACCCATCCTGCTGCCTGTCTGGTGCTGGGGGTCCCCTGACCTGGGTGCGAGCTGGCAGTTTGCTAATAGGGATAGGAGGGAAGGAGCAAGCTTATGAAGCTCCACTACTGGAGAAAACCTTCCAGTTACTGGCTCTAGCAGGTCAGTCTGGTGGGAACGGAAGGCTGGTACTTCTGAGGTTTCAGGCCTCGGGTCTGGGTACCTAACTTCAAGGAGAGATGGAGCATAATCTCTTCCGCCCTTGTCTTCTGCTTGGGACACCTCATCTTTATCATCAGGTGGTTGTGACCAACAACTCCACCACCTCCTTTAGCTCAGTTTCAAGCATCTCTCTGACACCACTTCCCACGTTTTCAGCTTCTTTTCCCTGTAGCTTGTCTTGCACCATTGTCAGCCTCGTTGGGCAGAAGACTCCCTAAAGCCAGGCCGTGTGCCTCCCCCACCTCCCTTTGAGCCCATGGTCCACGGCTATAGTCACTTCCTTGCAAGGACCCTCAACCCTGTTCCCTCTCTCTTTCTGCTGAACTTTTTTTTTTTTTTGATAAAACATGAACTCTACTTAAATCCTGGTCCCCAGCTGGACACAGGCCGATGATCAAGATTGGAGGGAAATATTCACCCATGCTGTCTGGTCTTACTCTACATCTTTAACCACTAACCCCAGGTCAGTCCTGGGTCTGCCCACCGATCCTAGTCTGTGTCTCCACGTCTCCTTACTCATCCTCACTTGAAGTTGACGGTCTTGCTGTCTGCTTCACGGTGAGAAGGGAATGATGGGAAGAGACTCCCATGTGCCCTCTGCCCTGCTCCCCCAACCCCCCCGACACCCAACTAGCCTGCTTGCTCCCATACACTGACCTCCCTCTGCCCGACAGGAGAGAGACCAGGGCCAGCTCCATCAAAGCCAAAGGTTTTCTTGCAACTCAACACACCTCCACTTCCTCTGTTTCATTGCCCGGAACCATGCTTCATCCTCCTTGCTGTAAAGGAGACTGAGAAAGGGAAGGCTGTCTCTTCTGCTTCTGTTGCAAAAGCAGCAAGGGCCAGGGGATTGTGATTGGCATTGGAGTGTCTGCCACAAATACAGCCTCATTCCCTGAGACTCATTCACGGCGCAAATTGGTTTCCTGGATTATGTGATGTTCTCCGAGAGGGTCCTTCCCGCCTCAAAGTGGGTGGGGGAGGGGAGCTCATGGGCACTGTTCTCGGAGGAGGAGCGTTCTCAGACAGGCTAAAAGGAAGGGAACAGCTCTTCCGGGCTTTTTGACTTCCTATCTCCCTCTAGACCTTAATCAACACGCTAACTACTACCTTATTCAATCTATGGGACACACTCCTTACAACCTAAACCGAGCTGGAGGTTCCGTTTTGCTTGTTTCTTTCTTGGTGATTGGTAGGTATTTCCTCGTATTCTCTCAACGGGGATTGAGACTGCTTTATAAAAAAAAAAGGCAAAAATATAACGAAACTCTAAACCAATGAAAACAATGAAGGCTTATCAATGAAGATGCAGAATAGTTATACAGGGTGTTCAGGACAAGGAAAATGCATCCAGCTAAGGGTAAACCTCATGTCTGAGCTTCCTGGGCAATGTAATAGTGTATGGCAGCCACTAAAGACTAAAAGGGTGTCAGGGGTGGAGAGAGGAAAGTGGGTAAAGAGAGTCAAAATGTACAAACTCCCAGCTATAAAGTAAATTAGGTACTAGGAATGTAGTGTACAGCATGATACTTATTTAATTGCTGTATGTTCTTTATGAAAAGTTGTTAAGAGGGTAAATCCTAAGAGTTCCCATCACAAGGAAAAACTTTAAAAAATTTCCTTAGCATTGTATCTATATGAAATGATGGATGGTCACTAAACTTATTGTGGTCATCATTTCATGATGTATGTAAGTCAAATCATTATGTTGTATACCTTAAAACTATACAGTGCTGTATGTTAATTCAGTTCAGTCACTCAGTCGTGTCTGACTCTTTGCAACCCCGTGAACCACAGCACGCCAGGCCTCCCTGTCCATCACCAACTCTTGGAGTCTACCCAAGCTCATGTCCATTGAGTTGGTGATGCCATCCAACAATCTCATCCTCTGTCATCCCCTTCTCTTCCAACCTTCAATCTTTCCCAGCATCAGGGTCTTTTCCAATGAGTCAGTTCTTCACTTTGGGTGGTCAAAGTATTAGAGCTTCAGCTTCAGCATCAGTCCTTCCAATGAATATTCAGGACTGATTACTTTTAGGATTGACTGGTTGGATCTCCTTGCACTGCAAAGGACTCTCAAGACTCTTCTCCAACACCACAGTGCAAAAGCATCAATTCTTCGGTGCTCAGCTTTCTTTATAGTCCAACTCTCACATCCATACATGACTACTGGAAAAACCATAGCTTTGACGAGATGGACCTTTGTTGGCAAAGTAATGTCTCTGCTTTTGAGGAGAAAGAGTGAAAGTGTGTCTCACCAGGCTGACTCGGTTCAGAAAACAAGAAATTCTGGGGTCTGGTCTGGATCAGCTTCTTTCTGTTGTGGATGTCCCTGAGGAGGGTGGTGGCAGTGTCCGTTGTAACAACTGTTATGTTGAAATCCCATGGCTACAGAAAGTCCTCACTGGGGACTTGAACTTGGAGATGAACTACGGGAGCCTGAGGAGCTTTGTGAACAATGGGGGATGTTCACCAACTGCGAGGTGTTGAAAGAGGCAGGCACCAATCCCTCCGGAGACATTGCATTTGTCAGCAGGCCCCCATGGTAGAAGGAGAAGCAGCCAAGCATCCAAGGCCACGGAAGGTGGATGGACAAGCAAACTTCAAGGCGAGCCAAACAAGCTTTTCTCAAGAGAAGGCTCTTGACGGCCTGCCAACTTGGCTAAGTTAGACACCAAAGAACTCCTCTCAAGAGATTAGTTGAACAGTATGGAAGTAAATAATAAGGCTGAGTGATACTGTGATAGAATCCACTTTATTGATGGGCAAAAACTTCAGTGGTTACGGTGGCCTTGGTGACAGTCCTGGTGGAGAAGGTAAATAATGTGGGAATGAGGGAGGTGGCAGAACCCACAATGCCCTTCCTTGGTCAATTACAATTAACCTTCAAATTTTGTTTCAGGAAAGGACCAAGATGTCAGAGGCAGAAACCCTGGCTCTAACGGTGGCGGAAGTCACTCTTCTGGCAAACCACAAGACCAAGGTGCCTCTGGTGGCTCCAGACGGTGGTAGGAGCTCCAGTGGGCACCGATAGTAATCACTGCTGGGAGATAAACCTTGGCAGGGGTGGAAAGCAGGAAAGCGAAAGGGCAGCTGCACTTCAGTCTGGGTGGACGGCCATCCCACATGCACTGTGGGGCGGCCTGGGTCCCTTCTCATGGATCAGATTTTGTCCTGTAAGATTGATAAGTATTTCCGGTCTCACTCCTCAATAAAGCAGGTCTATGAATTCAGCCAAAGTAGTACTAGGCCCTCTAAGCCAAGTTGTACAATGCATCCCTTCAGGCCAAGGCCTCCAAAATACCCCCACATGCTACTCCTTTGGGGCCCTTTTCTTTAGTTGGACTGAATGGCTTATAGGGTCCCCTAACAGCCCAGGTTCAGAGGTAGTCACAGAATGAGGGAATCTTAGAGTCATGAGTATGTGTGTGCTCAGTCATGCCCGACTCTTTGCAACCCCACGGACTGTAGCCTGCCAGGCTCCTCTGTCCATGGGGTAATATCCAGGCAAGATTACTGGAGTGGGTTGCCATTTCCTTCTCCACTAGAGTGAAGAAGAGACCTTAGATATGTTCTACTCCAACAACCTTATTTTATAGAAGGGAAAAATGAAGTGCAGAGAGAATTACCTTACTCTTCTGGTTCAAACTAAAACTAGGGGCTGTACCAGTTTAAATCTCATTTGACAGCAATCACTTAAAGTGAAAGAACGTTTAATACTATTTACTTACAGAAAGTCTGGAAGGAGATGAGTTCCTTTTTTTTTCACTGACTCAAAGGTGTCCACAAAAAGCTAGGCTTCTGCGTCGCCATCGAGTTGACTTTTTATCCTTGTGCTTGTTTCCTTATGATCACGAGATGGTTGCAGTGGCTCCAGGCATACGTCTTCACACAAGCGGTCCAAGCAGAGGAGAATGGGAATGGAAGAAGCCGTGTTTCTTTTTAACTAGGTAGAAGGTGACTCCCAAAACCTCCCTCAGAAGACCCCCCCCCCCCCCCTTTATATCTCACTGGTCACTTCTTGTGGCAAAGGAGCCTGGGGAAGTAAATATTCTGTAGAGGGAAATGTGAGAGTTAGGGTTAGCTTAGACCAATGATGAGGCATGAAGAAGAGCTAGGCCCATTTCTACCCAGAGCAAAATAGGGACTTGTTGGTTAGGAAGAAAGAACGATGAGGGAAAGGGATAGTTTCTGGAGGCAACTTGAGGTGTCTGCCACCATCTGCATGGTGGAGAAAATGTAGGCTTTGGGGGTGACAAAGATGGGGATTCAAAGCTTAACTCTACCAACTGGGTAACTGTGACTAAGTTTCTTAGCCTCTCTAGGACTCATTTCTCTTTACTTTAAAATGTAAGAAATAGGGCTTCCCTGGTGGCTCAGTGGTAAAGAATCCGCCTGCCATGCAGGAGACATGGGTTCAGTCCCTGGCCTGGGAAGATCCATAGGTCCTGAAGCAAGTAAGCCCAGTGCCACAACTCTTGAGGCTGGGCTCTGCAAGCAGAGAAGCCATCACAATGAGAAGCCCGTGCATCACAGTCAGAGAGGAGCCCCTGCTTGCTTCAACCAGAGAAAAGCCCATGCAGCAACAAAGACCCGATAAATAAATATTTATGTATTAATTATATAAATAAATTATTTATTTATATATTAAAAGCATGGCCAAATAAATAAAAATTTTAAAAGCAAGAAATATAATGTATGTCCTGACACACAGCTATTAACGTAACTACTAATAGTCTACCAAGTACTTTCTCGTAATTTCAAGTATTCACATCCTCACCAGTCTTTGAGGAAGGGAGTAATTCCTTTGATTAACCATGTGATTCCAAGAGCACATGGGAAGCAGGTGGTACAGCTGGAACTTAGACCTGGAGATACAAATATCTCTGCCCTCCCCGCAACCCTCCCCTTGATGTTCTGATTGTCCAGTGCGCGCGGGCCAATCGTTGGAGATGAAGGCCCTTTCAGAAATGCCGTTTAAACCCCATTTTTCTGTTTTCCAGAGAGATACACTAAAAGAAAATGAGAGAAGTACGAAGCTCTCAAGGAGTCTAAGGCAGTGTCCCCGGGCCCAGGAAGGGCCTGCTCTATTTCGGCGTCACAATCCAGGACCCACAAGTCAACTAAGACCCCAGAAGAGACTGTTCATTAGCACTTGAGGGGAGCATGAGCTGGAGATCTGCTCTTTGACCTGCCTGGCATTCATTTGCTAATTATAAGCAACCTGTTTTCACTCCTGGTCCCAGCGATCAGTGGGGAATCCAGACCTCACCTGCTCTGCTCCAGGGCTGGGCGTGTGATCTACACCTGATCAATCATCATTTTCTATCCTCTTGGCCGAGATGATCACCTTTGGGTTGAGAATATAACCCAAGCCAGGCCAATGAGACTCACTCCTGGAACTCTTGCTGGAGATGCTGGGAGAGAGGCTGTCTCTTTGAGCTGAGAGTTGCACATGGTGTGGCCGAGCTCAGCCTGGAGCCTCCAAGGAAAGTCGCGTGGCTAGAGCCTGCGGGGGAAAAGAGAACAGGCAGGAGAGGAGAAGCCAGCCTGGGACCTGTGGACTTATGAACACTGTTGCAGCCTATGAACCCACGTGTTCAGCTATACTTGAACCCCCCCAAGTCTACCTTTGGATTTTCTATGCAGTTACACAAGCTTAGAAATTTCATTTTGATCCTTAAGCCAGTTTAAATGGAGTTTCTGTCTTTTTTTTTTTCTGTAGAAAGTATCCTGACTATTTTGAAAAGAAAGCTTCTTCTCCTATCATCCCTAAATAAGATGAAAACTGTTCCACTAGCCTTGCTCCTTTGCTCCATAGCTGAGACCAGCCCTGCTCTCTCAGCTAAACATTATGGATTATTCTTCAGCATCACAGACTGACACTGTGATGACCCCATCTCCAGCAATGACCTCAGGACTGAGGGATTTTGGTTTGAGTGGGAGACAGCTGTGAGCAGAGGCTTTCCATGGAAAAGATTCAGCTTTTCCATTGCTTTGCTGACTCAAGCTTTCTATGGAAATCACTCTTAATCATTGTAAGCAATCAGACATCCGCTGTGACATTAAGCCAGTTTCCTAGTATATAAACCATCAGCGGGACACTACTATCCACTTCCTCAAAGCATCCTATGCCCGCCCCTCTCCTCCCTGGTACCCGGCTTGTGACTGTTAACCCAAGTTCAATAACTCACGCAGCTGATGAGAAGGAAAAGTTGAAGTTTTGCAGAAATGAGGGCAGAGAAGTCCACAAATTTTTACTGACTTCAATTTTTCTCACTCAAGTAAGTGTTTAATGAGGTAGAGAGAAAGGTATCATAACAGGTTTGTTGTTTTTCTTCGTCAGAGGCCTTCCAGAGGGAGGAAAGCCATTTGTTCCGCAGCACAGCCTAGAGAATCAAGTCATTTCAGGTGTCTGGTCTGTCTCTAGAGGGGCTGGATCTGTTTGTGCTCACACTGACCTTTCATCACCAAAGGAAGGCAACACCCCAGGGGATTAGCGGAGGCAACTTTTTAATCTAGCATTTGTCTATAAATATGCTTTAATTTTCACCTCTCCCTCTTCAGCACCTCTCTGCCTGCAGTTTTCCTCACATCTATTCTAATGGGAGGACAGGAATGAGTGGGCACAAACAAGACCTGATCCCTGGGATCTGGCAGGATTTGCTTTGGGGATGTCTACATGCTTATCTGTAGGGCTTCCCTGGCGGATCAGACAGTAAAGAATCTGCCTGGAATGCAGGAAACCTGGGTTTGATCCCTGGGTCAGGAATATCCCCTGGAGAAGGGAATGGCAACCCACTCCAGTATTCTTGCCTAGAGAATTCTATGGACAGAGGAGCTTGGCGGGCTACAGTCCATCGAGTTGCAAAAAAGTCAGACATTGGCTGATTCATGTCAATGTATGGCAAAAACCACTACAATATTGTAAAGTAATTAGCCTCCAACTAATAAAAATAAATGAAAAAAAAGCTCTAATCAAAAGTAACTCTTAGGTAACACCATTTCCTTGGCATCGACCTCCTTCCTAGTTACATATTTTAAAAAAAACAGTCAGACATGACTAATGACTAAACACAACATACACAGGCATATCTTACTCTCTTTTCTATGCCCTTTCAACCCTCAGCCTTGGCTGTTCCTATTCTTACATTTGACCCCAGGAGACTTCCTGACAGTCCAGTGGTTAAGACGCTGAGCTTCTAATGCAAGAGACACAGGTTTGATCCCTGGTTGGGGAACTAAGATCCCACATGCCGTGTGATGCAGCCAAAAAGAAAAAAACAAACAAAGCACACATCCTTAGATTTGACCCGGAACCTAACTCTTCTGCACCTACGGCAGGGCCTGACACATGGGAGCCATGCAATCAATCCAGGCTACCTTGACGCACAGCTCCAGGGGCCCTTTTATATTTATTCTACATGGTGCTCTAGTGGTGCCTTTTATATGGAAAACAATGTGAACGGGCTCCCTGGAATCAGGCAGCTCAGCGACTACATTCAATATATTTTGCTGATGAATAGACGAATGAATGAATGAAAGAAATCTTGGTTGGCTGTGCTCTGGCCTCTCTCCTTTAATACCCAAGGTTCTCCTTTTCACTAAAATTCTATTCATAAATATTGACTGGATGGCATCAGCCTCTAGATTAATCTTGTTCCCACGCCTAGCTGCTTTCCATTCAAGAAATGTGATTGCTTGTTTTAACTTCCGGACAAGTTCCACTCCAGCTGCGAGCTCTTCAGGGTTTCTGGCCTGTACCCCTCTCCCCATCTCTTTTTTATTCCTGCTTGATCCTGCATGTGGACTTTTGCTCCTGGACTGTCAAGGCACCAGTATCAGTGGTTTTAGATTCTTTGTTTCTTACGGAAAAAGAAATGTCAGAAATGGACTATACTACAGGCAATAAATGCTGGAGAGGGTGTGGAGAAAAGGGAACCCTCTTACACTGTTGGTGGGAATGCAAACTAGTACAGCCGCTATGGAAAAGTGTGGAGGGATGGGGAATACATGTAAATCCATGGCTGATTCATGTCAATGTATGACAACACTCACTACAATATTGTAAAGTAATTAGCCTCCAGAAAAAAAAAGAAATGGACTATAATTCAAGCTAGCCATTAAACCATGGTCACTTTGTTCTGCTAAGGTTGTTCTCTATTTTTTTAAGGTGACACTCTCTTTTATTTTATTAATGTTTATTGGGGTACGGTTGTTCCGGAGCGCTGTGTCAGGGTCAGGTCTCCAGCACAGTGAATCCGCGATACGTGCACATACAGCTCCTCTTTTCTGGATTTCCTCCCTGTCGGGGCCGCCACAGGGCGCTGAGTGGAGGCCCTGCGCGGTGCAGTAGGTGGCCATCCTGTGGTCTGCTGCCGACGGCGACTGCGGTCTGCAAGTTTCCTCTCATTCCCTTTGCTTCCCTAACTCCCACTGTCCTAGCACCGTGTGCCTGAGGGACCATGGGGCTCCCTGCTGGGTTTGGGCCCCAGAACAAGCTGCCCTGCCAGCCAGCTTCCAAATGCCTCCACCTTCTGGCTACATCTTACTCACCCAGGCCGAGTTCCCACTCCAGACCGACACTGTTCCTTTATCAGGGCAGCGTCTTCTACCCCTCTCCACGACGCCACATTCATTCCTCTTTTAAATGCGCTCTCTTATCCAAGGCTCACTCGCCCCTCAAAGTCTAGCTCCATGTTCAGCTCTCCTAAGCCACCTCCTCTGGCCACTCCAGCCCTATTGATCTTCCTCTTTCTCAGTAAGTACAACTTGACATTCTTTGTATGCATCACAATATATCACCCATTCTTCCCTCTGTAAATCTTGCCTCCCTAACCAGACTACACATTCCCTGGGAACAGGAATCATGCCAAATTATTTCAGTGACCTTCACATAGCCCCCCACACATGACAGTTTAAACAAGTAAATTTAAATACCTAGTATGTCTGATGTACCTTCTTCTGTTAACATTTGAAAAAGCACCAGTTTTTTCAAACTTTCAGCATCACGTTGTTGAGGACAATTGAACGCATGTTTGCCAGGGATGCAGAACAAACTAGAATCCTCTCCTCTGAACCCCTGCTGAAGCCTGTTACCTGTACATAATGGTCACATGGGAAGAACATACGAAGCAATCAGAGGGCCTATGAATGACTAAACACTCAAGTAGGGCTGCGGCATTTGTCAAAAGCCACCAGTGTTCAGCAAATGTGCTTCTGGTCACTGAGCACCAGGCCTATTGTGAGGCATTATCTCTGCTCTGAATAGGGTTGATGTTATATAATAGAAGAACAGGAGGTGGAAAAAGAAATAGACAAATGCCACTTTTCCTTTTTTTAAAGTACCTTAAGCAGAGTACCTGGCTTACAGTTGGGGTTACATGGAATTTTACTCCATCAACCCATTTCTAAGTACCCAGTCCCCCAGGACCGGCGGGACATTGGTTTCAGCAGGCCACTCAGTGGCCAAAACCCACAAATGCTAAGTCTTCCCTCCGTTTCTGTGGGTTTTGCACCCATAGTTGTGAAGGGCTGACTATAGTCTCTTTTTCAGACCTTGAGACTTCTGGGCAAAAGGAAGAGATAGTTGAACTGAATGCTTAAGTTAAATTTAAGTAGTGATACTCTTTCCTCTTCCCACCCTGGGAATAAGCTGAAAGTGTTTATTTTGTTGTTGGTTTCCTGATGAACCAACCCTTGACTTTCTGGGCTCTGATCCTAAATTGACACAGTTACACCCTGGTCACATCTCAGGCCTGTAGCTGTAGCTGGGAAACGCTCTTACCCTGGTGGGTTATATGAGAAGCCGTTTTTAAATACACACGAGAAGTCATTTTAACGGCTGCCACTCCTGCTACACCACACAGCACACACACAGAACTTGGGACTCCAGTCTTTCCCCAGGCAGCTGCCCTCTCGTCCTTGCATTTCACATCTTCCTTTCCAAATGCAAAGCCCCTCCACCTGCAAGTTTCACAGAAGATGAACAAGCACGATGAAGGCTGAGGATAGAGGGGACTTGGCCCCGGGGCAGTGGGACAGTGCTGAGAGGTGGGCAGCAGGCTGTGGGTGGTGGGGCTCTGGAGCCAGACTGTCCGGGTTCAGACGTCACCTTTCCCACTTTTTACCTATGTCATCTTGAGCAAACTGCTGAGCTTTTCTGGGCCTGTCATTAAACAAGGAGACAGTAGTATTAGCCTTGTCCTGTGGGTTTGTGACGACAATTAACTGACTCAATACATATGGAGCACTTGGAACAGTGCCTGTGATGTGGCCTATGCCTAATCAGTATTAATTATCATTGTCAGGGAAGGCACAT